ATACCAATCTCATGTTTAAATGAAACCTGGGAATGGCTTGATCAGAAGATGCAGGGCTCCCAGCTAGCAGCCTTCAGATTCATTGGCTGGCTTCCGGCCTCCTCCCAAGTGGGCAGAGTTTGTTTGCTGTTCTCCTGAAGCTAAACAGTAGTTAAGCGGTTGACTTCATTGGAAAGCAGTATTATTTTGAAATGAGGCTTGGTTTCTCGTCAGTGACCTGTGCGCAGGGAAGGCCCTGGTCTGCGCCTGGATCCTGGAGTCACAGCCCTGTCACGGCTCAGAAGGTTCCCAGTCGCCGGAGAAGCCCACAGGGAATGACAGCATGTCAGCATTCTGCCTGTGGTCTGGCCTGCTGCTTCTGTTGGCTTTTCTCTGCCCTCCAAGTTCACCGTGCGGCCTTTCGACACATATAGAAATAGGTGAGTCCTGGGGTTTTGTGTTATTCGAAGGAGAAGAAGTCTGTCAAGAGACAGTAAGAGATTGAAAATCTGTCCCTTGTAATGCTGGTTTCTCCTGCTGGGCTAAGCGGCCTCATAGTGGAAAGAAGCAGCCGGGCGTGGGGTCGTCAGGGCTGGGGAGGGGCAGGCAAGCAGGAGGCCAGATGTGCACTTGGCCGTGGGCTTGCTGGGTGTTGCTCTGGGTAGGAAATGGTGAGGAGCTTGATAGAGGGGAGGTTACAGTGAAGCACACCTGGAAGAATGGGAGAGGAGGTGGGAGGAATATAGTGGGAGGGAGGAATTTGTGTTTTACATTTCCAAGGACAGGCCTTTCTGCATATGTAGAGGGCCGTGTGTGGTCAGGGGAGTGGGTCCTATGAGTCAGGTGGTTTTTGAGGTGCTCAGCTTCAGTGAAGCTAAGGAAGCGAGGGAGTGTGAATGATCATTGGCTTCAAAAGCAGAATGATGCCAGGATTTGGGGAGGAGAGGGGGGTCCATAAGAGGTATCACCAACCTCAGGGGCAAAGATAGAGTTACTTAGATATAGGTAGGTGGTAGCGCAAATACTGTAGTCTTTAAAATTTTATCCAGTTTTACTCTTAAGTGAAATAAATAGGACACACATGTGTAAATACCGACTAGTTTCTCTAATGTGAGAAACCGAAAGTGTAAATAAGGATGAAAATAATTAAAATGAGTAATGGATAAATTGAAATAGGAAAAGGCCCAAAGGTGTAGGGGTGGTGGGAGGGGAAGGGGAAAGGGAAGAAGGGAAAGGAAAAATTATGAGAAAAGGAAAAAAAATGGAAATGAAATCTATGTAAATAGTGAAGGGTGGAGGGGGTGAAGGACAAACAGGTAATGGGGAAAAAAATAAGAACTAAGATACATCATGTACAGGTACAAGCACCCAATGATGAATGTTAATGTATTATATACCTAAAAGGTACCAATAAAAGAAAAAAAAATTTTATCCAGTTTTATTAAGGTGTAATTGACAAAAATGAATAAATTTAAGATGTACAACATAAGGTGTCTGTCCTTTGCTTCCTTCCTTCTCCCATCCATCCATCCAGGTATTGAACCCAGAAAGTGCTGAGCTACATCCCAGCATTTTTTATTTTGAGCTAGGGTCTTGCTAAATTGTCTAGGCTGAGGTCAAACTTATAGTCTTCCTGCCTGTCTCCCCAGTATCTGGGATTATAAGTGCTGGCCACCATATGAATGTAGTATCTTATATAATATGTGCGCACGTACACATGTGTATTGTGAAATACTTACCACAGTCAAGCTAATTAAAATATCCATCACCTCACATAGTTACCATTCTTAGCATGTGTGGGCAGAACAATTAAGATCTCTCTCAGCAAAAGAATTTGATTCTTGAATGAATTATAATTTGTGATTTTTTTAGTACATGCAAAACATAAGCCAATTTATAATATAGTATTCAACAATTTTAGATTCATTTAAGATATACCTGATGTTTTAAAATAAAAGTAATAGTATTTTGTAGTTATACTGCCTCCGGAAGTTACAAAGAATAACAAGACTGCAAGTAAAACACAAAAACTTATCAGTGCAAAATATATGGCATGCAGGAGCCTATGGTCAGAGAATTTTATAATATGAATGGATACTAGAGGTCACTGGGCCTATTTATTTTACAGAAGAAGGAACATCCTAGAGAGTTTCACGGCTAACCTTTTAGTAGCCTGGCCTAGAATCACACACCCTCATAGTAGTCCAGCGTTTTTTCCCTTAAACAGTTGTTGCTGAAAGGGAGTCAGGAAACCACGAGAAAGAAACTCTGACCTAGGTTCTATCCCAGCTCTGCTATAAATATGTAACGATTTGCTTTACCCTTCAGATCCTCTTTAAAGGTGGAACTTCTTGATTTCTGAAGCTTCTAGTTCTAAGCTCTGTGTAGTTGAAATGGCTGAAAACATAGAAGTATGCTAAAGAGGAACAAATGTGAATAGGAATACCCAACGTTTTACAATTTATTTATTTTAGCTATTCATGTATCTTACGCTGTGCTATATTCCTAGCATGCCTGGAGACAGACTCTTGGTAAGTCTCTGAATTGCCCAGGCTGGGCTCGAACTTATGCTCCTCCTTCCTCAGCCTCACAGAGTGCTGAGATTACAGCCACCATGCCCAGCCTCAACTTTTTAATGATTGAGAGTTTAAAAATTTATGAGAGGTGCCCTTCTTCAGTAGTTACCAGACAAAGATCCTAATGGATATTTAAGGATATCTACATCTAAAGATACATTGAACACAAAGGCAAATCCTGAAATGGAATCTACAGATTTTGAGAAATTTCATGTAAGAGTAAAAACTCCAGCATTTGTTTACTAATAACTTAAATGATATAAATTCTAGTTTCATTTTTTTCTGTGTGTATGTCTGGTACTGGATACTGAACCCAGGAACACTCTTAACACTGAGCTACAGCTCCAGATTTTTATGTTTTTATTTTGAGTTAGGGTCTTGTTAAGTTGCCCGGGTTGATCTTGAACTTGTTGTCTTCCTTATTCAGCCTCCCAAGTAGCAGGGATTACAGGCATGCACCATCACACCAGGGTACTTTTTCTTTTCTTTTTTTTTTTTCTCGGGGTACTTTTTCTTATGGGGGGCATTGTGAAACGTTGACATTTATGTGAATTGGTTAATTTGAATTGGTCTCATTCAGTGTTTTGGGCCTGTAAATCACTGGAATCCCAAGTATGGATTCCTTGTATAGGTTGTGTCTTGTCTCTTATGGTGTTAATTCTTACAATATAGTACCAGCAATATATATTAAAAAAAATGGATATGGTTCACAGTAGAGCAGGGTGTAACCTTTGAACTTCTCTTTACGGGAATGCTAATCCTGTTGCTTCTGAGAAGGTTCAGGCTGTGAGTCTGTGTGAGTGGAGAAGGAGGCCTTTTGAGATGACTTTGTCACTCCAGATGAAAACAGACTTGGGGACCAGTGATTAGACAATGATTTAGGCTTTAAGTCACATTTCCTATTCTCTGCCTCAATTTGGAGGCAAACATGTTGATGGCAGTTTGTTTTTTGAGCTCCTGTGTGTCAACCTCTGTTCTTGCCACTTAGTAATTATATTCTGTAGCTCTCAACAAATGTCAAAAGTGGGGGCTGTTTACTTAATTTTATATAGGAAATTGAGTCCTACAGAGGTTAAGTAACTTAACCAAGTTCATAGTCCTAGTTAAGTCACCATGAAAATTTCATTTGTATTCTAGTAATATGCAACTATGCCTAAAGAAAATTACAATTATATGTACACACTTCATTTTCGTTTCCTGCTTCTGACTATTTACAATTGCAAAGTTATATCTTTGCCTTTTAAAATAGTATGTAGTAATTATACTTGGACTTTATTGACTTGTGTACTGTATTCATTTCTTTCAGGACACAGAGCTCTGGAATTTCTTCAGCTCCCTCATGGGTGTATTAACTACAAAGAGGTCAGCACTTGACTTTCCTTACATACCTTCTACATTAGCTCTCCTCAGTAGGTGCCATACAAGAGTCCTAATGGACATTTAAACTAATTTCAAGAGTCATTTTTATGTCTTTATAAAACTAATATTATGGTTAAAAGGTATACAAGGTATGGTAGAAAAATATGTGAATGTTTATATTAAAAATGTATTGCAGTAAAAGACACATTCCTCCTAATCCCCCTCAAAATACTCTTCTGGACACACTTCTCCCATTGTTCTTGTTACTTTCTGAAGCAGTTCTGGAAGTCCTCTTTTGTGGGTGTCTTTAGGTGCCCTGTCATGGCTGCCTTGGTGTCCTAAATTGTTTCAAAATGTTTACCTTTCATGGTCATGTTGACTTTGGAGAAGAGCCAGAAGTCGCCTGGTACCTAATCCAATGAATAAAGTGAATGAGGATACATGGTAATGTTCTTACAAGACTGCCTTTCTATTGGATGGCATTCCACAGTGGCATTCATTGAATTTTGGGTCCCACCTTGTAAAGACATGAAAGGAACTTCCAGAATTGCTTCAGAAAGTGGCAAGAATGGTAGGAATAATTGAATGTAATGTGTAAATAATTAATTCCCTTACACCCTCTTCTCATTTCCCCAGTGGTTCACAGCTTATCCTCCTTGACTTTCCATTCTGTCAGTTTACACTCATTGTTTTTTCCCAAATTGCTTGGAGTTGCGGACATGGTTCTTATTTATCTTTTAATACTTCATTGCCTGTTCCCTAGAACAAAGATACTTTTCTATATATTCTTCTTCTTCTTCTTTTTTTTTTTTTTTGGTACCGGGGATCGAACTCGGGTCCTTGTGCTTGTGCAGGAGGTGATGAAACCACTGAGCTAAATCCCCAGCCCTTAAAGATGCTTTTCTAAAAACTACACTATAATGATCATACTCAGGAAAGTCAACATTGAAATAACACTCATTCAATTCTTTCACATTTCACCAATTGTCTCAATGTCCTTTCCCAGTCCAGGATAAATCCAAGACCAAGTCTAAATCCAAGTGTTGTATTTCATTATTAGTTCCCTTTGCTTTCCTCCAGTCTAGAACTGTTCCTCAGGCTTACTGTGTCTTTATTTATTTTCATAATGTTTACATTCCTTGTGTGAGTTGCTACACACAATATCTTAATTCTTTTTTTTATCCCCCTCCCCTCCTCCCTCTGTATTTTGATCCCTTTCCCGTTTGAGAAAGATCTGTCTCCTTACTTCCCTACTATCTTTTATTTTACTCTTTACTTATATTTTGGGTTTCTCATAAAAGAGAAACCAGGCAATCTTTAAGCTTGTGTATCTGATTTATTTCACTTAAAATTATGGTCTCAAGATGCACCCATTTTCCTACAAATGACTCAAGTTTATCATTCCTTATGGCAAAATAGGACTCAGTTGTGTGTAAATACCACATCATCTTTATCCATTCATCTGTTGAACATGTAGGAGCCCCAAGATACAGCAATTATAGATTGTGCTGCTATAAACAAGAGTACATGGCTCACTGTGATCTGATGTCTTTATGACCTTGACATTTTTGAAGGTTTAATTGAGTAACTCTGAGGAGTGTACCTTGACATGGTTGTTTCTGATGGTGCCTGGAGATTAGATTCCTCTGCAGGTGATGAATTTGGGCAGAAACCCCCTGGAACATTAATGCGATGCTGCTACCTTCTCCCTGTATTCTGTCAGAAGGGGGCAATGTGAGTTTCCAATGATGTTAATTTTTATTTCAGTTATTGTGTTTTTTAGTTCTAAAATTTCCATTTGGTTTTGCTTTGTATCTTTTTCTTTGCTGAGACTTCCTGTTTATTCAAGGGTGTTTGGAGTTGATCACTGAAACATTTTTGGCTGTTTTAAAATATTTGTCATATAACTGTGACATCTTGGTCAGCTCAATGTTGGCATCTATTGAGTCTTTTTTATTTTTGAGATCTTCTCAGGGCTTTTACACTGAGCTATACCCCTAGTCCATCCGTCCATCCATCCATTTATTTATCCATTCATTCATTCATTCATTGAGAGACAGGGTCATGCTAGGTGGCTAAGTTTCCCAGACTGAGCTTGAATTTGCAATCCTCCTGTCTCAGCCTTGAGTGTTAGCATTACAGGAGTATACCACCTCTCCCAGCTGGGTCAGAGGTTATTGTTAAAAGTTTTCTGTCTTGTTATCCTGTCCTTCCCCTGGCCTATGGCTATAAAGAATAGGCTTTTATTGGTGTATGTGTGTATGTATGTATATATATGTATGTGTGTGTGTATGCATCATGCACATATCCGCATGTGTGTAGTTTTCCATATACAGTTTGGGATATTTAAGGCAAAAAGAGAATCTAGAGAAGTTATCATGATTAGCTTCACTTTTCAGAGTCACCTTATGTTAATTTAATAATTTCCAGGTTTTTTTTTAAAGCAGGAATAGTAAGGAAAAGTATACCTATTCCAGGTTTCTGGAAGCAGAAGTCCCAGAGATACTATATTAAATTTTTATCCCTGGGTTAAGGTTGTGTCTGCCAAATTTTTATATTGGAAAGTTAATAATTATTTTCTACTTTTTAATTAATTAGTAAATTCTCTGCTAAGAGATATGGTCATAAAACTCTTAAATTTTTGTGTTGTGAAATGCATCAACCTTTTCTTTTATAATTTCTACCAGTGTATTATGCTTAGAAAAATCATTCTCACTCTCATTATTACCTTAAATCTTGACCTGTTAATTTCTTGGCTCCTTTTGTTTTTGTTTTTGTTGTTTTGGTACCAGGGATCAAATTCGGAACGTTATACTTTTGAGGCAGGCTCTTGGCTCCATTTTTGATACTCACCTTGCTAATTCACCTTGTATTTATTTTGGCATAAAGCATGATAGGGATCCAGTGACCTATTATTGATAATGTTAATTTCTACCCAGTGTCACCTACACAATGGACAGATTCAGCAGTGTAAAGAAGGTATACTTGTTGCTCTGGGGTTGTGACAACCCCAGTTGTTGATTACCCCATCCTTTATTCATCCTATAAAAAATTGTTATTTGTGCTCTTTGCTTGAGTTTGTTCCTGTAGTCTTTTTTCTGCTTTGTGGCTCTGTTCCCTTTGGGGGTGCAGGGCTTGGTGCATGTCGGGCAACTGCTCTACCACTGAGCTGCACCCCTAGCCCCATCTGTTCTTTTGGTCACAGTATCTTTACTATTGTATTTCTGTAGTGTAAAAATATATTTTCATATGTGAAAGATACCTCCTCCCTCAGGGCTCCTCTTTTTTGTTTTCTCCAGCAGTTTCCTGACTGTTTTACACACTTATTTTTAAAAATTTATTTCAGAATTATTTTGTCATGTTACATAATGTGTCTCCCTCACTGGATGATGTAGATTAAGCCAGTCTTAAAGTCCTTTGAACACTGGCTGGTAAGGTAAATATTCAATAAAGTTAATTATTATTTTTAAGTGACAAAAGTCCAACTCAGGCTATGTTTTGAAAGAAGAGACTTTACCAACTTTATTGATTCATGTGACTGATGCCCCCAGGTAGAGAAAGGCCTAGTGGTCTTGATGGTGTTCTGCCTCCTTCCACAGGGAGGACTTGACCTCAGAGCCTGGTGGGAGACAGCAGCTTCCAGAGCAGTGCTGGGGAGGTCTCCTGTCCCATGTCCCTTTCTTAGCCTAACAAGTGAGGGGTCAGTGTGCTGGTGGCTTCTCCCTGTGCTTGGACCAGCCTTCCTGATTGGTGTGGCATTCAGTGTCCTCAGGAGGGAATAATTCTTTTTCTCTGGGAAAAACAAAAAGCAAAACTGGATGATTTTGCCGTTTTCTTGTGTTATGTTCTCAAAGTACTTCTTTGTTGCCTCTATGAATGGTCCACATTATTGTAAGTCCTTATCAGAAAATAAAAACATTGTGTTAATAAAAACGTTGGGCCCCCTATGCCAGAAGGGGGAGTGGCTTGTCCCACGGCTGTCAGACCCCTCCCTCACCTTCTCCTGAGTGTGGATGGGGACAACTTGCCCCATTGTCCTCCTGCCGCCCTTGAGGTTACTTTGTGCCTGTTCTCCAGGCTGCTCTGACAAGAAGTGAAGCCCTTTTACCTGCTCCTGTGGCTGCTGCCTCCTTGAAGAAGTGGCAGAGATTATGGAAGGATCTCATCCCCAACCTCCTCACACTCCAGTAAGCTGTGGTGAACACAGCCAGCCCTCCTGAAAACTCCCTCAGCTTTGGCCCCACCATTTTCACAGAGATGTGACAGCTGTCAATTAAACAGCATCTCCCAACATTCCTTTGAAGTGCTGCCATTCCTTTGAACTGCTGTGACAATCCTGGACACCCTGACACCC